GGCGGGATGGAGAGGATGGTGCTGCTGTCCACCTCCCCCATGAGGAACTCGGACACGCTGTGACAGAGGGACACGACCAGGCTCAGCACGGGGGATGCGCGGTGACAAGGAGGGCTGTCGCCCACAGCACCCAACCCGTAGTGAGGGACTGGGCGAGGGCTGGGGCTTCTGTACTGGTGTCACTGGGTATCAGCTCAGGGCTTGGTGATCAGGTGAAGGAGCAGAGCTTTGCCCAAAATAAGGGGCAGGGAGATGGAGCCTGCGGGCTCTGGAGTCCCACTTGGTGCTGGAGGTGAATCTGCCCTCCTGTGGGGTCCCTCTGCTCCCCAAACCACCTGCCCCAAAGCAGCTGCCACCATGGGGCCGTGAGTGGGTGAGGGGATGGAGCGAGGGGTGACGACGTGTGGGATGATGGGGTCCTTCACAGGACCTGCCCAGTGGGTCCCTTACGTGCTGCTGAAGGACACCGCGATGGTCTCCACTGCCTTCTCAAACTCCCGCTTGTCCGTCTCATGGTTGGATTCGTAATGGAAACCTGGGGATGAGGAAGTCGGGAGCCCCGTCACCACCCCGTCCCAGGCTGAAAGACCCCATGGCTCCTGCGGTGGAGGTGGGGCTGGGGTGCAGTGAGGAGGACAGGGGCATCCCTAGAGAGGATAGACTTTCTCTGGTGTGTCCCTGCCCCTCCATTTCTCCTGGGAATGACTTCCCTGCCTGATTTGCTTGGCTCCCGTTCCCATTTGCTCCCGTTACCCAGGGCTGCTCCCCTGCAGCTCCAGTTCCCCTGCCTCCACCATTGCCATATGGCACCTCCAGAGCCCCTGCTCTGGGGTGAGACAGCTTCCTCCAGGCCGAAAGAGGAACCTTGGTGGCTGCAGGAACTGGTGCGGATGGCATTTGGGCAATGGCCGGGCCGAGGGGCGCTCACCGCACCCCAGCGCCTTTTGAGTTGGCGCCTCTGCCCATGCCCTGGTGCGGTGCTGGGGGGCGGTGAGCTGAGTTCCCCCATGAGGGGCTGGGGTCTGCCCTGTCCTGTGCCCAGGAACTCGCTCTGTCGTGGCCACACGTGGGGCCAGCCCCACGGCAGAGCCTCTGCCAACTGCCACAAGGTTTCCTGTCCCTCGCGTTGAGCTCGGTGTCCGGAAGCGGCACGGTGACGCACGGTGTTGTGCTCTGCCTGCGGTTAGCGCAGCCACCCCCCCCTCCCTGTGGAGTAACTGTGGGCGGGATCTGGGCTCCACACCCCGCTCCCACAAACACGAGAGGCTGCCGGGAGCAGGATCGGTGTTTTTCCTGTGGCCATGCTTGGAAACCCCCTGGCAGGGACCTGGGCTGGGTCATTCCTGACACGACATTGTCCTCAAAGCCAAACCCCAGCGAGGAGCTGATGCCCTGGTGCCCCTGTCTGTGGGGCACCTCTGCTCCTGGCAGCACCTCATGGGCTTCCTGCACCCCACATGTCCCAGGTTGGGGCAGGAGGGAAGCAGGACAGAGCCCCCAGCGCCGTGGTCTCACCCTTGACTTTGGAGATGAGGGTCCCGGCGGCCGTCAGGGTCTCCAGGGTGTTGAGCAGTGGGTACTTGGTGATCACCTGGCGCAGGATGCGCAGGGTCTCGCCCAGACACTCGTGGGCCAGTGGCCGCTGGGGCTCCTTGGGGTCTGCAAGAGATGGGGGCTCAAACGCTGCCCTGCGTCCCTGCCCAAAATCCCTGCCCTTTGGAGCCCCCATCCACCCACTGCCAGCCACGTCCCAGGCAGGGTCCCGGACCCTCCAGCCCACCCCTTTGGCTTCAGGGCTCCCCAGGACTGGTATGGCCACATCCTGCTGGTCCGGCACTGCCCCAGCTCTGCTCTCCATGTGTACCCTGCCCAGCACAGCGGTGGGCTTGGGGCAGCCCGACCTTTTAGGCATTTTTTCCTCAGTGGTAACTTTTTCCCTTGAAAGCGGTTTGGGAATTTCCTCCTCGTTTCCTTCCCCCCCTCCCCACCTGATGGGCACTCCCAGTTGCTGGGATGGATGTGGCTGATCTGCACTGCTGCCGTGCCCTGTCCTGCCGGGGTCCTTCCCAGGAACCAACCCCTCCATGGGCTCCAGCCCCCCAGCCTGGGTGTCCAGTCCTGTACCCTGCTCCCACCTCAGCTCAATTGGGGTTTCCTCTGTTTCCTCTCCCATTTCCAGGCCCCTTCCAGAATGGGAAGTGGGGAGAACAGTGGGGCTAAGAATGGGGCTGGATGAGTGCAGAGCAGAGATGGACTCCCCAAAATCACAGCTGGGCCCTGCAGGTCAGCCCCAGCCTCTCCCCATCTCTGCCACCTTGGGGCTGGCACCATCCTGGCTGTCCCAAACTGGGTCCATCAACAACAGCGGACCCCAAGCTGAGGTGGTCACCATCCAGCTCAGGGCTGCTTCCTCCCTGCCCTGCAATACCCAAATTCACAGTGACCTGGAGGCATTGCTCCCCCAGCAGCGCAGACCCCAGCCATGGATGCGGTGAAAGTGATGCCCCAGGCTGGGTGCTGCCGTTTTCCACAGCAGGCGCGGATGTGTCAATGTTGACAAAGCCAGTGCCGAAAACACGGCATCATGTGACACACACCCCCCCGCCGCCCCACATCGCTGTGGGGACCACGAGGGCAACGCTGTTCCCTTTTCGTCCTTGTGCGGGAGCACCCACCCATGGCCCCGCAGCAACCCCAGCCCTGTGCTGGGCATTGGCCTCATCCCACCGGCTGCCCTGGTGAGGCTGCTCTGTGGATTTGGGGGGCCGAGGGGCTGTGCCCGGTGCCCTGTGGGGCGCTGGGGGCCGTGGCAGGCAGCTGGCATTGCCGCACTGTAAACAGGAAAGCGGGCGGATGAAAATAGCTTGCAGGCAGGAAGCTGTGTTATCCTGGCTCTGAGCTCCCGGCAGCCACCCTCTGCCCACGGCCACCACGCTCAGCACGGCCCC